CAGGGCACGACGGGAGCCGCAGGCACCACCCCGGGGACTACCGCTCCCAGTAGGCAGAGCGCCAGCCGCGGAGCACGCTGGGACGTGCGGCCCTCGTCCCGCCCGCCCCGCGCTCTGCGGGCGGGGCCGGACTACAACTCCCAGCAGCCCGCGCGCCGGCCGCAGCCTAAAGGCTGCAGGGTCCTGGTGCAAAGCAGGTCGGTAGTGCATCCTCTGCCCAGCCCTGTCCCCTGCTCTTCCCCCCTCTCCATCTATTTCAGTGATGCTCATCAGCACCCAGAGGAGCCTTGAGCTCCTTCCATGCCAGCCCCAGTCTGTGGACAAAAGTGATTCACAAGAAAAACCCAGAGATTTCCACCCAGATCCCCTAGGCAGGGACTTTGCCACCAAGAAACATTTCTCTGATATTTGTCTGTAACCCAAAGAAGCTCACAGCACCCAAAGGAGCCTTGCACTTCTTCCATACCCGCCCCAATCTGCAGGAAAACATGATGATTCACAAGAAAAACCTGGAGATGTCCACCCAGACCCCACCACCACCCACGCGGGGTCTTTACCCCGAGAAACAGTTCTCTGATATTTTTCTGTAGCCCAAACCAGAGGGAGAACCACAAGCCGGCATTTCCCGAGCTGCCTTGCAGTTGAGAGCCCTTGATCGGTTTGGTTTTGGAGCAGAGATGCGGGGCCTGCTCTTGAAGGAGCCAGGGGTTGTCGGACGAAACAAGCGGGTAGTCAGTTTAAAACTAAAAGGTGAGGAAGTTGGTTCCTGCAAGGGTGGGACTCGTCGCTGGATGTGGTGGGAGCTGGCAGTTCAGGGTGCACCCAGGGATCGGACACGTTCTTGGAGGAAAGGGGCATCTGTAGCTATGGAGCACGGGAGCAAGAGGCATGGCCTCTGCATCCAAGCTTTAAATGCTGAGGGCTGCAAGGGAGAGGGGAACAGGGCGGGGGAAACCCTGGTGAGACCCAGTTTGCTCTTCCTTTCACCTCCGGTCTCTGCCGCTGTGATGCAGGAAGGGCCTGACCCAGTCCATAGCAATTCTTAATGTTCTTATAATCCTGGCTATAATCTCTCTGTCCTTTGCCAGGCTTTGCAAAGCAGAGTCAAGTCCAGGGCAAATTCTCTGCAAAGCAGGCAGCGGTTGTGGGGAAGGGTTCCCAGATGTTTGGGCTGGCGCGGGCTGTTTTGCCGCACAGATGCTGCCCTCCTTTGGACGGCATTTCTTTCATATAATAGAAATGATTATATTTGGGTTCCAGACACCGAGGGTTGGCATTTGGGCTTTGTTGAGAGCCTGCCTAATTGCAGAGCAATCCTATACCTGGCTGGCATGCAGCAGCCATGACCATGCATGAATGGGAAACAGATGCCAGCGAGCTCACCCACCTTGGACACTCAAACTGTTGTACTGGGCACAGCAGGCTCTAAAGCTTCCAGATCCTGAACAAGTGCCAGGTGCCTTCTCCAGCTTTTGGTCTCAAGGGTCATTAGATCCAGGGGACCTAATGCTGACCCCTCATGCTCCCCCATAATTTAAGTGCATCCTCTCACAGAACCCCAACCATGTGAGTATCCTGGGGTTTATATAACCTTTCAGGGACAAGCACAAAAGCTTTGCAGAGAGGGTCCTGAAATCACCATTGTTCTTTACTTAGGAGACACAGGACAGGCACGTAGCATCTAGGTCATCAAGCCCCATCGCTTGCAATCACAGGCACATGTGCAATAAATATTTGTGCAAAATGGGACAGAGAAACACCTGCTCCAGCCCTTCCCAAACACCTCAGCCACAAATAACGATGCTAGGCACTTTAGTCCCAATTTATAGCACGCCAGAGGGAAAGAGGAGAGAGAAGAAAGGCACTGTCAATGCCTTGGGCCTCTACCACAGTAGGGGACATGTTAGGTAAAATGTCTAGAGGATCCTAAGGAGTGCACCATGCCCTGTGCTACAGAGGCAGGGAAACAGTGATCCTGCAGGAAACTCTTCCCTATCCCCATATCTGGCAACCAGTTTGATCCTAAGTTCATAAGCAAGGCACCCTGGAGGATATGCAGCATGCCTCAGGCAAATCTCCAGCCCTTCGGAAGAAGTTAGAAAACCCCAGCCATCAATCAATGCGTTCATGTAGGAGGAGGGCAACAAAGGGGCAACTAAATGGGAGATGAAATTCAGCAGAGGTAAGCGTAAAGTGATGCACATGGGCAAAAATAACCCAAACTACATCTACACTGATGGGCTCTACATGAGCCATTACCACACAGGGAAGATCTGGGAGTCATCCTGGGCAGTTCACTAAGAACATCAGCTCAGTGCTCAGCAGCAGCAAACGAAAATATTAGGGAGTATTAGGAAGAGAATTGTAAGCTAAATGCAAAGCATCACTATACCCCTTTATAAATCCATGGTGTGCCCACAGCTTGAACGCTCAGCCCTGTTTCAGTCCCCATGCCTCGGAAAGGGTATAGACGGACTAGAGAAGGTCCAGAGAAGAGCAAAAGGATGATGAGTGGTATGGAGGGGCTCCCATATGAGGAGCGACTAAAAAGGGCAGGCCTACTTAGGTTGGAAAAGAGATGCTGGAGGGGGGAACATAATAAGGGTTTACAAAATACTAAAAATGGTGACGAGAACGTAAATAGGGAGTCATTACTTATTATCCCTCTCAATACAAGAACTAGGAGTCGTACTTAGTAGGCAGTAAGTTTAAAACTAACAAAAGGAAGTTGCTCTCGGAGTATGTAATTAAAGTGTGGAGCTCATTGGCATCTGTTACAGTAGACTCTGACAGTTCAGCCAGATTCACAGAGGGCCTGGACACGTTCTTGGAGCAGAGAGGCATCAGTAGATATTGAGCACAGGAGTTCAGGGAAAAGCCTCTGAATCAAACTTCCTGGACCTTAAATGCTGGAGGCTGCAAGTGGGAGAGGAATGGGGCCATAACCCTGATCACAACCTGTTCGTTCTGCCTTTCAGCATCCAGTCTCTGCCAATCTGGAGATTGAGCAAGACGGACCTCTTGCCTGACCCTGTAAACGGTCCGGTAGTTCTTATGTCTTCCTGGCCCCTACAAGTGATCAGCAAAAGCCCTGAAGTATGCGAGGGAATACAATGCCCTATGGTGCAATGGGCATTGAGGGCATGTGAATACTTCCAGACAAAGGAGAAGGGCCTTCTCAAGTACCACCCCAAAGTGACTGAAGCTCCTTGCCCCACTGCCTTGTTCAAGAAGCTGTCCCAAAACCTTGCTCCTCTGATGGTGGGAAGCCTCCTTTTCACTTCCAATCTAAATGCATGTGCCCAGTTTATATTCAGCTGCAGTCTATATGGCTGCTGTCCCTTTAACTGTAGCAGCTCTTCCCTGGGATTCACCCCCAAATGTATTTATGGAGGAGTCACATCCCCTCTCACCCTCTGTTTCACTGGAATCAATGAACCAAACTCATTAAGTCTCTTCTCTTGGGACAGGCTCTCCATTCCCCTCATCTCCCCACCAGGCACCAAGTCCCATTTCAACTCATTTTGTGTTAATCCTGGTGATCAGAATGGCAGTAAGATGCTAAATGAGGCTTCCCTGGTGCCTGGCATTGTGGCATTACTAGGTTTCTAGCTCTCCTTAGATTGCATTAGCTTCTCATAGCTGCACCACAGGGATGGCACATGGTCATCCTGTGACTGACTGAGATGCCCAGCACTTCCCTTCCTCTGTTGCTCCAGTGAGCCCCTGGATTTACAGCAACAATCCTAACTTCAGTCCCCGAGTGCAGACTGCATGTTGTACTACCCAGCTCCACAGCATCGCTATCCCTCCAGTCTGCTACTGAAGTATTCCTGTAAAATCACCCTGTCTTTGCCTTCCTCTGGCCTGTCATTGTGTAGCAAGGAGAGCAATGAAAATCTGGAACAGCGCGCGGCTCAGGGTGGATCTGAAGAGCTCTCTCCGCATGGAGCATGCCCCAAACTAATTCATTCCCTGCAGTTCCTTGCTACTGGAATTGCCCTTTCATGTGCTAGTTGTTTGGATAATCCCAGGGTTAGGATGAGTGAGCCCCTTCTCTCTCAGGTCTGCTAGTTGCCATTACCCTGCCCACACACTCCTATGACATTCCCCACAATTGCCTTCCTATGCATCCTCTTCCTAATTAGAAATGCAGGTGTGTTCATGTAAGTATGTAGCATGTTGGGATTGTATCTAGATTATATCCCTAATCCCACTTTGAATGCCTGGTGGCACCACTTCTTCCCTCCTAGCACTCCATTTCTGTATCTGAAAAGCCCTTTGCTGTCCATGTAAAGCAGGAGAGGGCCCTAATCCCTTAGCAAACAATGTGGACCCACCCTTCAGCTCATCTTTCCCTATAGCAAGCATCTGCGTGCAGAAGGGCAAGACTGCCCTGGCCCTAGCACAGCCCTGCAAAGATCCCTCTTCCCTGGAGCTGGCTGAATAAAGAACAGCCACCCCAAGCACCCTGCTTTTTATAACCTTCCTGTCTCCTCATCAGACCCAACAGGTGAGCAAACCTGCACCAGGTATCTGTTGCTAGGCACTCTTCCCCTGATCACCCTATTCTCCTGGGAAGGAATCAGCCTATTGTTCAGAGTAATTATCTTTCAGTGAGGGAGCGCCTAAGTCCTTGGCTTTCTGTTGTGAGCCCTTGGGAATCCCCCCCTGACACCACGACAGACAAAAACCTGCATCCAAACTGAAGGCTGCCGCTTGCCACAAGCTGCATGTGGGCCAATGTCCCCC